GTGAGAGGCCCGTGCACCGCGATGAAGAGTGGCCCCCGCTTGCCACAACTAGAGAAAGCTCTTGCACAGAAATGAAGACCCAACACAGCAAAAATAAATTAATTAATTAATAAACTCCTACCCCCAACATCTAAAAAAAAAATAAAATTAAAATTAAAAAAAAAAAAAAAGTATACTCAGGGACTTCCCTGGTCTCACAGTGGTTGAGAGTCCACCTGCCGATGCAGGGGACGCGGGCTCGTGCCCCAGTCCGGGAAGATCCCACATGCCGCGGAGCGGCTGGGCCCGTGAGCCATGGCCTCTGGGCCTGCGCGTCCAGAGCCTGTGCTCCGCAACAGGAGAGGCCACAACTGTGAGAGGCCCGCATACCGCAAAAAAAAAAAAAAAAAAAAAAAGTATACTCAAAGAAAACAGAATTAGTCTCACTTATTTCACTACCATAGAGCTACCTTTTTGAGAAAGTATAAAAGGAAAAAAAAATAAAAACAAAACAACAACAAAAAATTTTTAAACACTAAACATAATCTTTCAATTCCAGAGGACAGGTAGGATTTACATGTATCTCCTTGCTTCCAGTCTCGTCCCTCAGGTCTCTTCCACACTGTCACCATGGATAGAATTCAAAATCACACACCTGAGCCTGTGACTCCTCCTCTCTTTATAATCTTTCAACAACTCCCTCTCACGAACACAATTAAAAAAAAAAAAAAACAGACCCAAAAAAGAGAAACCTGTTTAGAAAGTCTAGAAACTCCTTAACCTAGAAAGAATAACAATAAAGAGAAGAAAAGCTAACTTCTAAATTAAAGGCTCACTTATGATTCATAACCCTACGTTTCTCATTTCAAAACTGTAAAATAAATGAAATTTCAAATGCCAGTTAAACAGCAACATTGACACCTTGTGGTCAACATCCTAAAGTATCAAATGTGACAATGAGTGAAGTGCCTCCTAAGTAAATGTCTGCTTACATGAAAAATAATGCTTAATCCAGAGATTTACAAGGGTTAAGAAGCAAAAATTCAGTTACCATCACACATACCGAATGTAAACTTTGAAAGAGCTGCTCTTACTTTGGCAACATTGGAATTAGTCTAAATTCCTAACTATTGGCAAAAGAATAAAACCTCAGTCATTGTTTTCCTACAAAATGGTACAATGCATCCATCTGAAGGGGCTATAATGCCAGGGTCTTAGGTGCTCCAAAAACAGCCTTTACTTAGTCAAAATTTCCTATTTTTTGAGTGACATTTACACATAAAAGGTTGAGGGTAGAGATGCATACTAGTGGCACGAAAACACAGGAAGAGTTATTAACAGGAGACCTGGGTTCTAATCCTGCCTCCAAACAGCACTGAGAATTTTGTGGAGTAAGTAATATTAAAGAATTCAGACTGTGTGTTTTCACATAAAATTACAGATCAAGAAGTAACAATTCAGGACTTCCCTGGTGGTGCAGTGGTTAAGAATCTGCCTGCCAATGCAGGGGACACGGGTTCGAGCCCTGGTCCGGAAGATCCCACATGCCGCAGAGCAACTAAGCCCATGTGCCACAATTACTGAGCCTGCGCTCTAGAGCCCGCGAGCTACAACTACTGAGCCCGTGTGCTACAACTACTGAAGCCCGTGCACCTAGAGCCCATGCTCCACAACAAGAGAAGCCACCACAATGAGAAGCCCACACACCACAACAAAGAGTAGCCCCCGCTCGCCACAACTAGAGAAAGCCCACGCGCAGCACTGAAGACCCAGCGAGGGAAGGAGAGAGCGAGGGAGGGAGGGAGGAGTAACAATTTAAAAAAAAACAAGAGGACTTCCCTGGTGCCACAGTGGTTAAGAATCCGCCTGCCAGGCTTCCCTGGTGGCGCAGTGGTTGAGAGTCCGCCTGCCGATGCAGGGGACGCAGGTTCGTGCCCCGGTCCGGGAAGATCCCACATGCCGTGGAGCTGCTGGGCCCGTGAGCCATGGCCACTGAGCCTGCCCATCTGGAGCCTGTGCTCCACAATGGGAGAGGCTACAGCAGTGAGAGGCCCGCGTACCGAAAAAAAAAAGAATCCGCCTGCCAATCCAGGGGACATGGGTTCGAGCCCTAGTCCGGAAAGATCCCACATGCCGCAGAGCAACTAAGCCCGTGTGCCACAACTACTGAGCCTGCGCTCTAGAGCCCACAAGCCACAACTACTTAAGCCCGTGCACCTAGAGCCTGTGCTCCTCAACAAGATAAGCTACCGCAATGAGAAGCCCACGCACCACAACAAAGAGTAGCCCCCGCCTGCTGCAACTAGAGAAAGCTTGCACGCAGCAACGAAGACCCAACACAGACAAAAATAAAAGTATATATAGATCAATAAATTTATGAAAAAATAAAATAAATTAAATTAAAAAAACAAGAAATCATCAGGAAAGGAAAAGGTATATTTTTAAAAATTACTGCATCCAGGAACAATGTTGCCTGAGTTAAGGACGGGAAACTATAAACAAAATTGATCGGCACAAAATTAAGTTTCTCGGCAACCACTTTATATATATCATGGCAAAAACTGTGGGAAAAGAAAAACTTTTGCTTGAGCAGATACATGACGGTTACTCTGAACTGCCTGAATCACCAGAGAAAGTTCCATTTTACTCATTAACTTTGACAAGTACAATTTAAAGTTTCTAGCTCCAGAGTAACTCTCTGAGTTCAGGTAATTTACTTGAAAAATAGACACTTGGTCTGGTTCAGAAAAAGTATATCTGTGTTACCAGCTATAAATGATTTACACGATGGTGATGAGCAGGCCACTGTTAATAAGGCAATTCAAATGGCTGACACACCTGAGGAATCTAGAAGGCACGCTAGAAGTGAAACCCCCAAGAGACATTTCATTGCAAAACCAGTGTTAAATAATTAAGCCACTACCAAACTAACTTGATGATTTTGCGTTTATGGAGGGTTCCACGATTTTCAGAAATTTTCTCCATCATTATGCTATGTGCCCCTGACAACCACCAGTCTAGGAAGGTAAGTGAGAGTGTGAAAAGGGTTTGCAAAATTTGCTTGCCAGAAAACCTTCATACCAATCTCCAATCTGGCTCTACTTGCTATGTACCCCCTAAGATAAGTAAATCATTTAATGCTCCTTGGCCTCAGCTTCTACATGGAAGACAAAAGCTGATCCCTGATTTGTGAACACAAAAAACTTCTAGGAGAATAAGATAACTGATGTGAAAATGCTTATAAATTAAACAAATTTGAAACATCACTGCTTCCACATTTTGGAACAATTAGAGAGGTTAAATGAATTAGGATAAATCAAGGATAATTAAAGTCAGAGTCAGGTCAATCAAAGCATTCTCCATTATATCAAGTTGATTCCCAAGATCCCACAGTCTTTCTTCAGCTCCTATTCTCCTGTATCACTACAGTACAGAGCCTTCAATACTCCTTAAATCTCTAATCTCTCAGATTCTATGATGGTACCTTTCCTAACTCCTCCTCTTCTCACTGACTCTGTATTCCCTTTTCTTTTTTTTCTTTTTTTTCTTTTGCAGTACACGGGCCTCTCACTGTTGTGGCCTCTCCCGTTGCGGAGCACAGGCTCCAGATGCGCAGGCTGAGCGGCCATGGCTCACGGGCCCAGCCGCTCCGCGGCATGTGGGATCTTCCCGGACTGGAGCACAAACCCGTGTCCCCTGCATCGGCAGGCGGACTCTCAACCACTGCGCCACCAGGGAAGCCCCCCTTTTCTTTTAATTCCACTGATTTCTCTAATGAGATCACACAATCTCATACTTGGAAAATATCTTTAAAAATTATATTATCTATACTCTCATTTTACTGAGCAAAACAGGCCAAGAAATATTAGTCTCTTCCTCACATTTCAAACTATTTCTGTACATTCCTCTTTTCAATACTTAAAACTCAATGTAGTCCCAAACTGAATAGGCTCAAAAATAAGAGTTATAAAATAGACACCTCCTGCTTTCTATCTCCACCATCCAATTACTAAATTCTGTCCATTCTGGCACATACCCTAAGAAGTCAAAGTGAAAGTACCTCTCAGGTAAGAGTCAAAAGTCATCAAATGTGTGTGGTTACTTTAGTTGAAATCATTGTCTCTTTAGAGCATTTTACATAGTCCATGTCAGCAAACTCTCTACCATTATGTGCAGTAAGATTCAAGATTTGCAAAGGAAAAGCCCATTTCATAATGTTTAAAAAATAAACAATCATCCAGTTGGATAAGAGTCCAATCATCCTTCTGGGCTCTTCCTCTAGTAGATATATAGAGAATGTCTAATGGTCTGGAATTTATGATGTGTTATGTAAACACTAGGAAATACTGCCAAAATCGAATTTCAATGAATCATCTGTCTGAGTAGGGTGAACACAGGTTGAGTGTCACTCTTAACTTTATTTTAAATTGCATTTATTTTGGTAGCCTGCCTCCTGGGGAAACGTCCCTGATGATCTACCACATTGAAAATTAAAACCAAATTTAAAAATCTTTCCAAATTAAGCCCAGACATTATGAAAATATAGAGCTGAGGCAGTCAATCCTCTAAGCACATGAGATTCACGCAGAGCTCCTTTGCCTTGCCAAATATGATTCTTTTAAGATGAACAGCAGATCAAAACTCTAAGCTATGTCTGGGGCTATTGAAGGGGTTTTCTAGTAATGCCACAGTTGTTAAAGTTTTGATAAGTCTAAATTTTGTACCTCTGGTTGCTGCTCTTTATTGTGCAGAAGACCGGAAACAGCTCATGTCCCTGTTTTAAGATCGCTGGCTTCCAATCACTCTCTCCCACTGTCCAGAGGAAAAAAATGGCTTTCCAAAGGCTTTGTAAAAGAGATAAATCACTGTAGCTACAAAATTTATGAAGCTCTCACTAAAAAATGCTAAGTCTGAGTAACAGCTTCTAAAGACTCCATACATTTCCTCACATCGAAATGTCACAAACTCAGAATGAGGAAGATTCTTGACAAAATGCAAGAGGACTCTAAGAAGTTTCTTACCGCAGCAAAGAGAAGACATCATAAGAATTGCGAACACAGTTCTGATCCACCTGAAGAAGAATACTCTTCTGAGCATCTGAATAACCCTAAAAGACATTAATTAACAAATTAATCAAAGTAAAACAAAATATGTGTCCAAATTAATCGTGATGTTTGTATTTTTAAAATTATGATTCAATAACAACTCAGTAAATTCAAATCATTAAGAAATTAGAAAAAAGTTAAGAAACACTTTCATATAATTGAAGTTTAACTTTATAGGCAAGTGAATTTAAAATAAATTTCTTCTAACATTTTCCCACAGAAACAATGTTTCACACTATAACTTTTGGTGAACTTCCCAGGGAAACCCCAGAAGTCTTTTTAACATATTATGTGGCTGAAGAAGATTATTAACAATAATATTTCAAGTATGCCTAGCCATCATATGTAATGTTTTTATGGAGGAAAAGGCATTCCAAGTTTTAAGTAGGAATACCAGAAACAAGTATTTCCACTCAGTGGTGTAAAGGTGGTGGCAGCAAGGATGGTTTCTAGAGAGAACACAGCACAATTCCATAGGAAGAACAGAACAGCTATCTGGCATTTCAGAAAGGCAAAGTAAATAGTAGTTAAGAAAAAAGGACTCTGGACTCAGACCACCTGGATTACAGCTTAAGCCCTTAATACATCAGCTCTGTAATCTGGAACAAGGCACCTAACTTCTTTTAGTTTAACTTTGGTTTGTTTCTTCATCTATAACATGGAGATGGTAATATTATCTACCTCACAAATTGTTGTGGGAATTAAAAGAGCTGATATTTGTAAAGTCAAAGGTATGTGATAAGCCTGTATAAATGTTTGCTATAATGCTAGTATAAGCATTTTCTAAAAGTTACATTGCTGCACACATTAAAAGGTTATTAGGAGAATATTATAAACAACTTTGTGCCAACAAATTTAACAACTTGGATGAATCTTTGAAAAAATACAACAAGACAAAACTGATTAACAATAAAACAACAATATCTATGACCCAGCAATCCCACTACTGGGCATACACCCTGAGAAAACCATAATTCAAAAAGACTCATGTACCAAAATGTTCATTGCAGCTCTATTTACAATAGCCAGGAGATGGAAACAACCTAATTGTCCATCATCGGATGAATGGATAAAGAAGATGTGGCACATACACACAATGGAATATTACTCAGCCATAAAAAGAAATGAAATTGAGTTATTTGTAGTGAGGTGGATGGACCTAGAGTCTGTCATACAGAGTGAAGTAAGTCAGAAAGAGAAAGACAAATACCGTATGCTAACACATACATATGGAATCTAAGAAAAAAAATGTCATGAAGAATCTAGGGGCAAGACAGGAATAAAGACACAGACCTACTAGAGAATGGGCTTGAGGATATGGGGATGGAAAGGGTAAGCTGTGACAAAGTGAGAGAGTGGCATGGACATATATACACTACCAAACGTAAAATAGATAGCTAGTGGGAAGCAGCTGCATAGCACAGGGAAATCAGCTCGGTGCTTTGTGACCACCTAGACGGGTGGGATAGGAAGGGTGGGAGGGAGGGAGATGCAAGAGGGAAGAGATATGGGAACATATGTATATGTATAACTGATTCACTTTGTTATAAAGCAGAAACTAACACACCATTGTAAAGCAATTATACTCCAATAAAGATGTAAAAAAAAAAAAAACCACAACAATATCTGAATAACTATTTTTTAAGTGAATAAGTAACTGAAAATCTTTCCACAAAAAAAAAGTCTAGGTCCAGATGGGTTCACTGAACTATATCAAACATTTAAGAAATATCATCAATTTAACACAAACTCCTTCATAAAACAGAGGGTAAGGGAACAATTTCCAATTCATAAGACCAGCATTACTGATACCAAAACTTATCTCACACACATACACACACACAAACACAATTATAGACCAATATCCCTCACGAATATAGACACAAAAATCCTTAGGAAAATATTAGCAAGTAGGACCAGCAATACGTTATAAGGACAAAATAGTAATGCATCGTTATTGACTGAATTTATTCTAAGAATGTAAGGTGGGTTTAGCATTTAATATCAACCAATTAGCAAATAAGTGAAGCAATCATTATAAGCCTATCTTGATGGGCACACAATTATAAAGATGTAACTTGTGATGACAACAACATAAAAATGGGGGAACATAGCTATACGGAAGAAAAGTTTTGTATAATATTAAAACTAAGTTGGTATTAATTTGAACTAGACTGTTATAAATTAAGATGTTAATTGTAATTCTTGGGGCAACCACTAAGAAAATAACTAAAAGATATATAGTAAAAGAAATGAGAAAGGAATCAAAATGTGAGAAATAACTAACACAAAAGAAGGTAGTAACAGAGGAATTGAGGAACAAAAAAGATGTAAGAAAACAAATCGAAAAGTGGCAGAAGTCCTTCCATCTGTAATTACATTAAGTATAAATGAATTAAACACTACAATTAAAAGGCAGAGATTGGAAGAATAGATTTTCTTTTTAATGACCCACTATATACTGTCTACAAGAGACAAATAGGTTGAAAATGGAAGGACAGAAACACAAATAGGTTGAAACACAATAGGTTGAAACACAATAGGTTGAAAATGGAAGGACAGAAAGATATTCCATGTAAGCAGTAACCAAAAGAAAGCTGGAATGGGTATACTAATATCAGACAAACAGACATTAAGACAAAAAAAACACAAATAGGTTGAAAATGGAAGGACAGAAAGATATTCCATGTAAGCAGTAACCAAAAGAAAGCTGGAATGGGTATACTAATATCAGACAAATAGACGTTAAGACAAAAAAAAATTGTTAGAAGAGACAAAAAGGGATATTATATAATATTTAAAAGGTCAAGAAGATATAAATGATTATAAACATATATGTACCTAGCAACATATAACAAAACATATGAAGCCAAAACTGCAGAAACTAAAATGGGAAATAGCTGAAGTCAACATCCCACTTTTAACAATGTGTAGCACAACCATAAGAAAGATAAACAATGAAACAGAAGACATGAAAAGTACTATAAATCAACTAGACCTAACAGATGTATACAGAATGCTCCACCCAACAACAACCATATACATATTCTTCTCAAGTGCACATGGAACATTCTCCAGGATAGACCATATGTTCAGCCACAAAACAAATCTCAATACATTTCTAAAAACTGAAATCATACAAAGTATCTTTTCTGATCACAATGGAATGAAACTAAAAATCAGTAACAGAAGGAAACTTGGAAAATTCACAAACTACAAAGTAAATAACATACTCTTAAACAACCAGTGGGTCAAAGAACAAATCATAAGGTAAATTATTAAATACTCTGAGTAGAATAAAAATGAAAATACAACATATCAAAACATACGGGATACAGTGAAAAAGTGCTCAGAGGGAAAAGTACAGCTGTAAACATTTACATTTAAAAAAAGAAAGAGTTCAAATCAATTAATCTAATCTTCCACCTTAAGGAAACAGAAAATGAAGAACTAAACCCAAAGCAAGAAGGAAGTAAATAATAAAGATTAGGGCAGAGATCCATGAAAGAGAATATAGAACAATACAGAAAAATCAAAAAAAAACAAGTTAGTCCTTTGAAAAGAGCAATAAAATTGAAAAACATTAAGCTAGAGTGAACAAGACAAAAAAAGAGAATACTCAAATCACTAAAATCAGGAATGAAAGTGAGAACATTATCACCAATCTTATAGAAATAAGAAGTATTATAGAAGAATACTATGAACAATTGTATGCAAACAAATCAGATAACCTTGATAAAATGGAAATTCCTAGGAACGCAGAAACTCCAAAAAATGACTCAAGAAGAAACAGAAAGTCTGAACAGATCTACAAGTTGTAAAAGAGTTTAGCTAAGCTACTCCATGGTACTGCTGCCCTGGCCTCCATTTTGTTTGGCCAAGCAGCCTGCAGGGACCTTAAACTAACACTAGACCCCCTTTCAGGGAAGTGCATGCCCTAGATAGCAGGATGCAGAGTCACAAGCAAATGTAGCTCTGTTATGGTTGTGATCAACAGTCTCCCCTGCTTCCCAGCACCTGCATGCTTCGTACGCCCCTTAGATAAAAATCCCCATGTGCCCCTTAGATAAAAATCCCCATGGAGTGTATACCCTAGATAGCAGGATGCAGAGTCACAAGCAAATGTAGCTTCTGCAATGACTATGATCAACAGTCTCCCCTGCTTCCCAGCACCTGTATACTTTACACACCCCATAGATAAAAATCTCCATGGAACTTACCAAAACCCTGCTCTTTTGGCTTGAACTGACCAATCCAGCCCTAGCCCAGGAACCCCAAAGCACTCTACCCACAGACTCTAAATAAAGACATGTGTCCCAGGTCCTGCATCTCTCTGTCTGCACTTGGCCTTGAGCTCCCCATATATAACTTTACAGTCAGTTCTCTGTATCCATGGTTCTGGTATGCATGATTCTGCGTCCATGAATTCAACCAACTGTGGATTGTGTAGTGCTGTAGTTTGTATTTATTGAAAAACTCCACATATAAGTAGACCTGCCCAGTTCAAACACATGTTCTTCAAAGGTCAACTGTACTAGCAAAGCTAATCCAGCAGCATACTAAAAGGCTTATACAATCTGGTCCAGCAATTCTACTTCTGGCTATATACCCAAAAGAACTGAAATCAAAGACTCAAAGAGATATTTGTACATCCACGTTCATAGCAGCATTATTCACAGTAGTTGAGGGTTAGAAGCAACCTGAGTATTCATCAACAGATGAACAGAAAAACAAAATGTTGTATTTTCATACAATGGAATATAGTTAGCCTTAAAAAGGAAAGAATTCTGCTATAACATGCATGACCCTTGAGGACATTATGTTAAGTAAAATAAGCCAGTGACCAAAGGACAAATATTGTAAAATTCCACTTACATAAGGTACCAAGAGTAGTCAAATTCATAGAAACAGAAAGTAAAAGGGTGAGTGCCAGGGGCTTGGGGAAGGAGGAGATGGGGAGTTACTGCTTAATAGGTAGAGTTTCAGTTTTATAAGATGAAAA